AAAAATGCATCCAATCCCCGCAGGCCTCTGGGCGCATGTACCAAAATAAAAAGACGGCAAATTAAATTAAATGCGGCCTCTCCAAACTCGAATTCCCCATCCGCAGAGGAAGGAGAGGCCGGCCTCCCTCATCCAGAGCCCCCCCCCCTCCAAAGTCCATTTCCCTATGGAGATTGATTCCACCAGCCCCACGGTGCAGACATTCCTCCTTACGGAGGAGGAAACTGACACCCGGGGCCTCCCCAGCTGACCCAGAGCTCTGTCCCCAGGGCCGGAGCACAGGGCCACTGTGCCATCTGGCTCATGTTCTTGGGGGTGCCCGAGGGAAGGGCCTGGGAGGCCCATCTGGAGGAGCACCCAGAGGAGCAGGCGCTGGGAGACCCGGCAGCGCGGCAGGTTCATCTGAGAGCCCCCCACCCCCTCAGGTCAAGGTCGTTCACAGGAATCTTCCCTGCTCTCCTCCTGGCAATCTCAGGTCTACTTCAAACGGGACGGAGAGCTCATCGCCGCGGTGCCCCTCACCGAGCCGCCGTCTGTCAGCTCTGGGCCCCTCCAGGACAGCAGACCCTTCCGCGGCCTCCTGCACCGTGACTTGGACGAAACCAAGATGCAGAAGTCACTCTCCCTCCTGGACGCGGAGACCCGGGGTGGCCGTCCTTACACGGAGCGCCCCTCCCGCGGCCTGACCCCAGATCCCAGCCTCCTCCTCCAGCCGACCACCGAGAACATCCCAGAGACAGTCGTGAGCCGCGAGTTCCCGCGCTGGGTGCACGGCAACGAGCCCGTGTACTTCCTGCACCACAGCCGCAGCCCGGGCAGCGACGGCACCGTGGAGGTGCGCGCCCTGCTCACCTGGACGCTCAACCCGCAGATCGACAACGAGGCCCTCTTCAGCTGCGAGGTCAAGCACCCGGCGCTGTCCATGCCCATGCAGGCAGAGGTCACGCTGGGTAAGGCTGGTCAGGACCCTGCCACAGACCCCCTGCAGAGCTGGGTGGTGGGGCCTCGGGAAGAGTGTCCCTGGGCGGCCTGAAGGTGGAGGGGGCGGAGGAGGGTGGGAGAGGGTCAGCCCCAAGATAGAGCCGGGTCTGGAGGAGGCTTGACGACTGGACTGGAGGAAATGGGAGGTTCCCGGAGGCTGGGGCGTTTGCTGGGGTGAGGCAGGACCGTCCGAGGTCATCGAGCTGGCTGGATAGGGTCAGGGTCACAAGAGGCCAGGAAGGTCACAGCAAGGTCGGTGAAGGTGTCTAGATTGCAGTCCGGAGCACGGGAGGTGACAGGAGGTTTTCTGGATCAAACAAGAGGCCAGTGGGCTCAGGGGACAGTGTGAGCGAGGCTGTGGGCTTCCTGACTGAGGTCGGGCCTCCTGGAGGTCACAGGAAGCCTCTCGGCTGGATTGGGGACACACAGGACCGGGGAAGGTGTGACTTCTGCTTGCACTTTTAAGGGCAAGGAAAGCCCCGCCTCTGTGGCTGTGGACCAGGCAAGTCCTGACTGGAAACTGGACGTCCAGGGCCACTTCAGCCCTGGGACCCAGGCCTGTGAGAGCCTCCCCCTCCTCCAGAGCCCAACTTGGCACCTCCCCCAGCTGCTCTCAGGAACAGACGGCTCCTCCTGTGCTCCTGTCCCGGCTGAGTCAGAGCAGGGCACCAGGGGACATGTGGGACTTCCCCACCAGAAGGGTTTGTGTGGACTGGGAGGGCGGGGGCAGGGGTGGACACATGACCTACGCAGGCCCTTTCTGCTTATGTCCCTTGAACCTGATCTACAGCACACAGCAGCTCTTCCCTGAGCCCAAGATACCTGGGTTGTCACCAGAGTGGCCTGTAGCAGTCAGGGACCAGCCCAGGCCCCCCATGACAAGGACAGAAAGCAGTGATCGAGATGGTGGGGCTGCACAGCCTGTGTTTTTTCTGTTTCTCGCTGGCCCACCGACACCTCCTCAACATCAGCCACTGAGGGAGAGGATTCATGTACCTTGTCACTTCCTGTGTGCCAGGACATTTGCAGGGACCACCCCCTTCGGTTCTCGCAAGCCCGAGTTTGCCACACGTTCCCATTTTACAGATGAGCAAAACCGGGGCTTGGGTTGGGCTCCAGGACCCGGGTCACTTACTCATATCAGCAGAGCTGGGATACTGAACCTGGTCTGTTGCTTTCCTCACCCCCACAATGCCAGCCACTGATGTCACCAGCCCTGGGCCACGTGCCCTGGGCCGGCTGTGAGGCTGGTTCCCTGAGGGCCCTTTAAAATGGCCTTTTGGTTTCCACAGGCCACCTGCCCATACAGAAAACAGTAAGGGTAACACCTCCACCTCCAAACCACCTTTACTGAACACCTACTGTGTGCAGGACGGTCGCTTTTCTTGTGCTAACTCACTGGCTGCTCTTGGGAAGCCAGCGAGGCTGACAGTGTGAGCATCCACGTCACAGGCCGGAGACCAAGGGAGGGGAGGGTCAAAGGCAGACAGTGTCTGCCCTGAGCTCTCCCTCTGCCTCCTGCGGCGTCCATGTGACACAGGCCCCACCTCCTGGGGACCATGGACTCTGGTACTCCACAGAGGCATCTCAGGGGCTCTGCAGGGCCAGCTCTGTGCTTGGGGCTGGGGTCTTTTCAACCCAGAGCCTGCCCAGCCCCTCCCACTGGCCGGCCCTCCCCCCTCTGGCCCCTCCCTCTTTCCCACAATCCCTCTGGCCCAGGCAGGGGGTGGGCAGCCATCATCTGGCCACCTGTCCATCAGAGCCACCCCTGCCTGGGTTGCGGGCACTTCCTGAGAGCTGGCTCCCTGGCCCCACCCACCAAGAAAGAGAAAGAGCAGACAAGACTCAGCAGGTGGGGGGAGCGCTCAGTGTCCCCCCAGGCCACAGCGGGGCACCTGCCTGCCCTGCCCCACGTGCTCCCTTACCTGGCGCCATCCCTGTGGGCACCGCACCCAGCACAGAGTGAGGGGAAGAAAGGCCATTCACAGGCAGTGGACAGAAGCTGCCACATCTGTGCACCTGGGGAAGTGGCAACCGGGGGCACAGCAGAGCCACCAGGCAAAGGGGCTCACTTGGGGGAGTGGATAAAGATGGCCCTGGGTGGCTTCCCCAGTCCCAGGCCTCTGAGCCTCAGGGTCCCGACTGTCCAACCGGGAGCAGGATGGGAACTGCAGGACCAGGCTGCAAGAGCTCCCTGGCCAGGTACCCTTGTCACCGAGCTGTGGCCCTGTTGTCACTCCCGCCTCATAGGTGAGGGGCCCGGGCTTAGAGTGACTATCCCTACATCAGCCAGCCAAGGTGCCAGCCTCCGGAGCCCACCTTCTCCACCACTGTGCACCCCACCCACCTGGCGGCCCTGAGGGTGTTCAGGGCCAGTGGGCGGGAGCAGCGGCCTGCGGGGAGCTGGGGGTGAGTGAGCTCACCTTGCACCACCAGGCACTCGCACTCTGGGCGAGACAGTGCGGTGGAGGAGATGACCTGGGAGCACAGAAGCCAAGCATCTGGCAAGGACTTTGAAGGTCAGTCCACTAAAGGCCTGGGCTGGTCTCCTGCCGTGGACCTCCCTCTTGCCGTTCCCTCCCCGCCAGGCTGGTTGCCCACAGTTCAAATGCCACCCGCTCCAGAAAGCCTCCTCCAGGCCTTCCAGCTGGAAGGGCCCCTCTGCACCCTTGTCCTGCTGGCGTGGCCGCTGCCAAGTGACCTGGATCACTGTGCCTGATGGTGCCTGGAACCCATCTTGGTGGATGGCATCACATTCTTCCCAGAGATCAAGCCAGAGGCCTCGGGACCACCCGCACGCCCACTCTTCGCGTATCCCACGTCCAAAGTCATCCAGCCCTGGCCTGTCCACCCCACAACATATCCCAGCCC